AAGGGGCAGATATAATAATTTTTCTTCTTCTTCTGCTACCATTCATTTAATTTATGATTTGTATTTTTGTTTGAATTTGTTTTTTAAAGAAATGAATAAACCTAACAATAATCTAAAAATTTGCTCACCCCCTCGGATCATGATGTCATGACTGTTTTTTTTCCCTGCAATTTCATATTTTTCTGCACATTATCKTGCTTTTATTTAAATTTTTTAAATTTAATTTCATCTTAGTACAGTAATTACTATTTTATTTTGATCTGTTTATTTTTATTATCTTCTATTATTGCTACAGTTGATGATGTCACATAGCAAAATACTGTTTCTGTGGATTGCTGTATGTATCTGCTGCTGCCATTGCACCTGAATTTCCCCGCGTGGGAGAATAAAGGCTGTTTCTATTCTAAAACATAAGATTTTTTTTCTCGTTAGCCATTGTTGTAATGTTTACATGTTGTCATTTCCTTTTGACATCACGTCCTGTTACTATACATTCAAATATATCAACTTTTCATCTCAGCAGCAAGATTTATTTTCCTTCCAAAAATGTATTTATTACAAAAAACTGATGTCACGAGCACTTTAAGCTCCAGTGAGCCAGAGTTTATTTCAGAGACAAGGATGTAGGTCAGAAACAAAATGAATGGCGGGAAGAAGTTTAAACTCTTTGTCCTCAACCATCATGAGGAATGTGAGGGTCGCTGTTGTAATAAGATGTAAGATCTTRTGCCTCACAGCAATAAGGTTCTTGGTTTCATTCCCAAATTTTAACCACGGTGCTACATTTTTAATAGTTTGAACGTTGACCGTGCAGTAGTTCTGGTTCAGTGTTGACAATTTAAGCTGGTTGTGTAGACCCTCACAAGATTGTATTTTTATTTCTGAGTTTATTTCCTTTAAAACTGGACATCTGTAAATGAGGCCTTAGTTAGTGCTACATGACCCGACGATTCTGAAGATTCTCCTTTTTTTTGTTTTCTAATCGTCACTTCTCCCCAACCCATTCGCCCCCTTCAACAGTACTTTGTTTCWAACTCTCTCGTCTGTTTGTTACAGAAGCAGAGCTGCTGGAGGAGGAGGCGGAGATGAACCAAGCAGGAGGAGAGCCAGGAAAGATAGGACTCCGGAGGAGGAGGCGGACGTACAGCCGGACTCTGTCAGAGCACATAAARCCCATCAAACAGTACGGGCAAGATCCTGAACCCAGAGATGGAAACATGGGTACTGACTACCTTTTTAATTCAGGCTCTGATGTAACAAGATGTTATCAGTTTATTTGGAATATAAAGGTCCTTCTCAATACAATTAGCATATTGTGATAAACATCATTATTTTCTGTAATGTACTGATAAACCTTTAAACTTTCATATA